TCAAGTTGGATCTGACTCATAGTGACCCCTCCTTGGGTTTCTGAGGTGGTATCACTACAGAAGTAGATTGCCCGATCTTCCTGCCGAGGAGTGGCTGGTAGGTTTGAACCACCAGCCTTCTGCTTAGCTGTTGAATACCTTAGGCACTATGCCACCAGTGCTCCTACTGTGCCACCAGGGCTCCTTAATTAAGTATAGATCACTAATAGCATATATATATGTATATAGTGTGTATAAATATGTATGTGTAGCGTAGTGCCTAAGGCACTTGACTGCTAATCAGAAGGCTGGCGGTTCAAACCCACCAGCCACTCCTTGGAAGGAAGATGGGGCAATCTACTTCCATAGTGATACTGCCTTGGAAACCCAAGGAGGAGTCGCTATGAGTTGGGTCTGACTCGTCAGCACATAACAACAACATGTACGTATACACACACACACACACACACACACACACATAAGCTCTGGTGGCATAGTGCCTAATGCATTTTGACTGCTAACCAGAAGGCTGGTGGTTCAAACCCACCAGCTACTCCTCAGAAGGAAAGTTGGATAATCTACTTCCGTAGTGACACCACCTCAGAAACCCAAGGAGGGGTCGCTATGAGTCAAAATAGACTTGACAGCAGTGAGTCTGTTCATATATATATATCTATCTATATATACGTATATATAGATATATATATGTATATACAGATATAATATACATATATCTCACACTTCATCTCATTAAAATCCCAAAGTTGAATATAATATCATTTTCCCATCTGATGAGGCATAAGCACATATCTGCAAAAAGAAAACAATGGTATAAAAACAGTAGAGAAATCCTTAGCTTTTCTCTAATAAATACAACAAAATAAAGAAGGAAAGAACTGGAAAAAAACATAAATACCCATAATCAAAAAAGCTTGAAAAGATTATTCCACTGTGCCAAGAGAAAAGAAATAGAAAAAATGGCAGTAACACTGTTAAAGAACGTATTTCATTCCTAAGGGCTAAACACTTCTGAATGATGAATTCTTAAGATCACAAGAGCAAAGTTTACAAGTCACTAGACAATTGTTTTTTAAAAATGTCTTGCAAACAAGTAATTTAGGATTTTCCTTTTTAGAAAGGCCTGGCATCTAGCAAAGGTGGACTATAAGAAGCCAATGAAGACATTTCCAAAGGCTACCATTCTCAGACATAAACAATATACTCCAGGAGGCTATGTACTTCTAGTAAAAGATAGATGTTTCATATGATTTGGTCAAGGGTGAGAAAGTAACGGGTGTGTGACAAATAAAAATTCAGTCTCTCGTACTAGTATTGACTATGTTAATACTATTGTTTTTATTTACTTATTCCAAAAAGATCAGAATACTACTGTGATGAAAACAATAATTAAATTCTCAGACATTAACATATTTCTTGTTCTAGTCCACAGACCTTGATTTCTATTTAATTTGAATGAATGCTAGGCAGGTAGAAATTGAAAACAAAACAAAACAAAAAAGCTGTTTCTTTTTTAGCTGTATAAGCAGAACTCTAAAATAGTATTTTTAAAAGAACATAAAGAATAATGATTTACAGAAATAAAAACTTGGTAAATACAAGAATTAGAAACAACTCAGACCTCATGAGCTGAATGAATCAAACCAAAAGTTCAAAAGGTAAGCCAGTTATCTACTTTCCTGTTGTCAGGTGCTGTGGAGTTGATTTAGACTCATGACGACCTCATGTGACAGAGCAGGACTGTTTTCTATGGTGTAATCTTTAAGGGAGCAGATCTTCAGGTGTTTATTCCACGGAGCCTGCTAAGTGAGTGCTAACTACCAAGCTTCAGTTAGCAGCCTCATGCTTAACGATTGCACCACCAGGGCTCCCGACAGTCTACTACACACTCAATGAAGCAAAGTGCTTAAAATAAGTTAAGGTGGATGTTCCTTTGTTTGGATCCAAAAGCACAGCAGTCATTAAGGTTTAAACATTGTAACTACTAATAGTAATTTTTTTTAGAGGGGCTTTTTAGTACATTTAACATATTAAGGAAACAGGACAAGATCATTTGATCTAAGCTGAAAATTTTAAAAAGCTTCAATACACTCTCAAAATATTGTTTCGTATCACATAAGTTTATTATTATTATTAAAAAATTTGACAAAAACACTCTAGAAAGTGCTTTAATATTTTAAAATGAATATAAAATACTGACTAGCTAGTACTACTATTTTTTGTTACACAATGTCATTACATTACAGCCCAGCAAATTACATACAGAACATTTTTTAAAAACACATTTTGCTAACAATAAGCAGATAATTAAAAATATGAAATAAAACTAATGAACATTTTAAAAAATGTATTTAAGTCTAACTTTAAATCTTAAAAACAAACTGAGTATTACAAAGCTATGAAATATATACAAGCAAATGCTGTAATATATAGTATGCCCTACATAGAACTAAAATATATTTTTTCTGTGCTTAAATAATGCAATTATTTTGCTTTTTGAAAATATACAGAAAAACATTTTAAAAGAAAAGTGTATTTATCTCCCTAATAATGGACATATGCCATTATGGTAATAGTTATGAAACATGTTAATGAAACATTCCAAATAAAACAACAAAGAACATATGAATTTTAACAGTTCAGAGTCTGACTAATGATCATCATCATCATCATCATCATCATCACTACTGCTATTGTGAGTCATAATCCACTCTCTGTAGACCTGAATTTTCTGTAAGCGTGGTAAAGGAAAAAAGAAGCACAAAGGTTAGTTAATAATGGCAAAGTGCCTAGGAAACATGTAAAATTATGAAATGTTCAATGAATCAGAGTAATTTGAAGCAGATGTCTTGGCTGTGACTGGGGTTGAGATTAATGAATATAATATTCCATAGCATAACAAACCTAAGAATAAAATCTAATGCTTGGTTCAACTCAATGTATCAAATAATGTGATGATATCAATAAGGTGTTCTATGAATACATTAAAATTATCATTCTATGTCTTGAGTAGGCAACTTTAATGGATTACTAGCAAGGCACTATGATAATGTGGCTACTTTCTGAACAGAAATGTTCACAACAAAAAATATATTTTATATTTAATTATTATATATAGGCATATATAATTTTGTGAACACACAGCACCTTTTTTAGAAAACAGGAAAAGAAGAAACATTTGAAAGTATTAAACATCTTCTAAGGGTACCATTATTAAATGCTTTAGATTGACTACAAGCAGTTGAAATTTTAAATCTATCTCATCAACTTCTTTTCCACACTATTCACATTCATATATTTTAAAGTGTTTCCTAATATTACAGTAGAGTTTTGATTCAGAAAAGCACCATTACCTCCAAAACAATAACCCACTTCTTACTCATGTAAGAAAGTAATGGTAGCCACAAGCATCTAGTGAGCTCCTACAGGCTTTCCAGCCAATAAAGTGTTTAATGTTTTTGCTGAAACACAAGTAATTGGCTGTCAAGAATTCTGAGTTTTTCACCAATGAAGTATCTCTTTTAGCAATTAATGTTAAACTGGTCTACTGAAAATAATATACATGTTTAAAAATACATAGTCAAGAGTCATAAACATTAACTCTCAAAGTTTAAAGCTTAAGAAAACAAGTAATGAAAGTGTGGAATAAATTTGTCACTGAAATTATCAACCATGAGAAATCAATGGTATTTCAAAACTTCCTTATGTTACAATCTGCTCCCTAGTAATCAAGATGCATTTCTAAAGTGTCCTCACTACTCAGCCATACTTCCTACTAAGTTTATTGAAACAGCTTATCAAGGATTATTTTCAGTTTTATAAAAGTTGAGTTGAAAACCAATTTTCAGGCTACTGAAATGTTAATAGCATGTTAATTGTGCTTCAAGGGGGGAAGGTAGACATTGGGTAGGAAAATATGTTTCCACTGTATTTGCCATAGGTGAATTCTGCAACTTTTCTATTTTCCAAAGAATGATATGTCATCGCACACATGTCCTTTAGAGCACAACTTCTAACTAAAATGCTCGTTTATCACAATATGCAATTATTATGATGCTTTAAACACAGCATAAAATCCCTTTACTAAACATTGCACATTAACTCAAATTTTAGGAGTACATTTTATGTAAAATATATTATATGTATATTTAGTGAAATATTAAAGTTTTAATCTTTACCCTAATCACTTTAAACATGAAAATAATATAGCAAGGATATAAAAGAAGGACCACATCTCCACAGTTTCATACTATCATGGATATTTTCAAGTCTATATGATATAGTGACTCTTTGTTTTCACACAAATAATTTAATAATTTAGTATTACACCTAAACCACAGAAATGACTTTAAATTGGTATAACCTAGTTACCTACACCACATTTTGGATTTTAAAAAAATTGATTTGCCAAGTAAGAAAGTTGTCTAAATAGATACAATAGTCTGTACCTTTGAACTAGTATTCTAAAAGCTAACTTTTTAGTTAAAAAAGTCGGTTTGAATGTGAACTACTTTTCAAATTCTACAAGGTTCTACATATTGACAACAGAAGAAAAATTAATAACGGTGTCACAAACCCTTAAAAGAAATATCCTAAAAACATAAGAACCCAAGAATAATTTGCAACAGTAATGGTCCTGACTGTTTTGGGTTCCTCATGCATGTCTAATATGACATGAGGATTATTATCTGCTATACAATCTACTAGTGGACTAATGAACAGAAGGAACACTCCAAACAGAAATGGCCTAACTGTTAGACTAAGTAAGTACCACCAACGAGGGTACATAAGACACAACGGCTTAACAAATCTAGCAAGTTCAATACAGAACTAAGGATACCCTATAAAAATATTGGCTTCACTAAAAAAACCTATATAAAAAGTTACCAATATAAAAGCTTTTCTGTGTATTGAAAATACTTAAACCAGCTGTAGCAGTTTGTAAATTTTAAGACTAAAATCTATTGTTGGCTTTCACTTGCAAAGTCATGCATTAATTGTTTTCATATCAAACTTTTTGATGCCTGTAAAAAAGAAAAAAAAATCTTATAGTAAATAAATGTACATTACCTGAGTAAAAATATAAGAAACTTATAAACAGAATTAAGCAAATCACATAAAATCTCAACCTATTACAAATTTAAAGCATTATACAACTACTTTATAAAAGTGAAACTTGATTAAATTAACTATGATTTATCAGGTATTTCTTACCTGTAACATCTGATTTCCAGTGCCATCCCTCAACCTGTAAGGTCTGATAACCCCATCTTCATTGAAGAACCGGGGGGGTCGCAGACTCTCCACCTCATCAGAAGTCTCTGTAGCTCTAGAGGGAAAAAACAGCTTGATTTTAAGATGTTTAAAAACTTAAAAATGTAGTATAAAAAAGCAACTACTAAGAAGTATCTTCTTTCTGGTAAAGTAAGAATATTACAACTTTTCTCAGTTTTTCATGATTAATGTCACTAAATTACACACATAAAAATGGTTTGAATGGCAAAAGTTTTGTGTTAATAAAACATGTCATACAAAACTTTTGCCATTTAAACCATTTTTATGTGTGTAATTTAGTGACATTAATCATCATGTTCAACTATTACCACTATCCATTTCCAAATTTTTAAATCACCATTAACAAAAAATAAACCAAACCAAACTCACTGCCATCCAGTCAATTCAGACTCATAGCGACCCCCACAGAGTTTCCAAAGCTATAAATCTTTACAGAAGCAGACTGTTTCATCTTTGTTCTATGGAGCAGCTGCTGGATTTGAACCACTGACCTTGTGGTTAGCAGCCAAATGCCATAACCAGTGCCCCATGACAGCAACAGAATATATGTTGTTGTTCTTGTTATGTGACGTGGAGTCGGACCCGACTCATAGCGACCCCACTCCTCCTTGGGTTTCCGAGGCAGTATCACTATGGAAGTAGATTGCCCCATCTTCCTTTTGAGGAGTGGCTACTGGGTTTGAACCGCCAGCCTTCCGGTTAGCAGTCAAGTGCCTTAGGCACTATGCTACCAGAGCTCCTAACAGAATATAAGTGCCCCTTAAACAATTAACTCCCCTTGTCCCATGTCCCCTTACTGCTTTCACCAGTCCCTGGTAATCCTTTGGTCTCTACCCATTTGAATACGCCAGGTATTTCATGTCAGTGGGATACAATATTTGACCTTCTGTGGCTGACTTATTTCACTTAGAATATTTGCAAGATTCATTCATGTCATAGCATGTTTCAGACCTTCATGTCTTTTATTGCTGAAAAATATTCCATCGTACAGATAGACCATATTTGTTTATAAATTCATCTGTTAATGGAAACTTGGGTTGGTTCCACTTTTTTGTTACAATAAATACTGGTGTGCAAGTATCTGTTTGCACGCCTGCTTTCAAGTCTTTTGGGTATACACCTAGGAGTGCAACTGCTGGGTAATTCCATGTTTAACTTTTTGAGAAACCTTAAACTGTTTTCCACAGCATCGGTAACATTTTACAATCTCACCAGCAACAGATGAGGGTTCAAATTTCTCCTCATCAACATTTGTTTTATCTTTTTCTGATAACATCCATCTTCATTGGGTGAAATGGTATCTCATTGTGATTTTGACTTGTATTTCTCTAATGACTAAAGGTAGCATAGTGCCTAAGACATGTGACTGCTAACCAGATGGCTGGTGGTTCAAACCTACCAGCCACTCTTCAGAAGGAAGGTTGAGCAATCTACTTCCACAGTGATACTGCCTCAGAAACCCAAGGAGAGGTCGCTATGAGTCGAATTCGACTCCATGGCAGTGAGTTTAGTTTCATTTTTTTAATGACTAATGACAATGAATATCTTTTCATGTGCTTACAGACCACTTGCTATCTTCCCTGGTGAAATGTCTATTCAAGTTCTATGTAACGGCAAAGTGGGAGTTTTATATAATTTACTACACCACAACTATACTCAAAACTCACTGCCATCGAGTCAGATCCGACTCATAGCGACCCCTCCTTGTGTTTCCGAGGCGGTATCACTACAGAAGTAGATTGCCCAACCTTCCTTCTGAGGAGTGGCTGGTGGGTTTGAACTGCCAGCCTCTTGGTTAGGAGTCAAATAAATGCCTTAGGCACTTCATCACCAGAGATCTGAGAAATCTAGGTGAAGAATCTGTGAGAATTCTTCATAATATTTTTGTATATATTTTCTATATGTTTGAAATTAAAAAATGAAAATGAAGCTATATATAGTGTATAATGTTGTTGTTGTTGTTGTTGTTATGTGCCGTCGAGTCAAACCCAACTCATAGCGACCCCTCCTTGGGCTTCCGAGGCAGTATCACTACGGAAGTAGGATTGCCCAACCTTCCTTCCGAGGAGTGGCTGGTGGGTTTGAACCGCCAGCCGTCTGGTTAGCAGGCAAATGTCTTAGCCACTATGCTACCAGAGCTCCCATAGTTTATAATAGTGCACAATATTCCACTGAATGGTCGTATCATAATTTAATCAGCCATCTTTTAATACAAATGGATTTTTTTTACTCTTAATAACTTGACTATAATTTTAAAAGTTTTGCATGTATCCCTTGTACATTTGTCTAATTACTTCTTTAAGATATATATCTGAAGTGAATTGCTTAATCAAAATACATAACATTTGTTTTTCTAGTTACTGGTTTTAAGTATAAATAAAAAGTATTTGGTCAGTTGCTAGATAATGTTGGGAAAGGTGAGTCTAAAGTTTTGTAGTTTTTTTTCTTTTTTTCATACAGAATTTTAGATCCTTAGAACCAAGGATTTTTTTTAAAACTACAGTCTGATTATTTTCCTTTGAATAAATCCTTAGCAATAATCTTTCATGACTTTATTATATATTCACTATTTAATTAACTACATTTAATATAAATGTAAGGTCAATGTAGTAGCTCTCAGTGGAAATCTGCATAGCTATGGTTTGAATTCCATGTTTCAATGACTTTTAAGCTTCTCTGATAACTCAGGGCATTATATTTATAAAACTAAAGGAACAGGTACAGAAGAATGATCCTTTTTCCCTATCTTAATTCTGAATAGTACAACTGGAAACATCCAATGACAGCAAGCAGTATCAAGTACTGTCTTAAGAGGAGCCTCATCAGATAACAACAATCATCCTGTCAGAGCAGGAAGTGAGAGAAAATACTGAAGGAAAGGACAAGGAAGGTATCTGCTCACTGAACTATGTTGGGTCTTATTAACGTAAACTTAATCATTTATCATATGCTGCAAATATCTACAGCAAAGACTAAATTTAAACTTAAACTAAGTTTAACTTAAACTAAATTTAACCTGGAGGAAGAGAGAATATGTTTTAAAATTCCTTGCACAAATAAAGAAAAATAGTGGGAATGGATATAAAAGTTTTATAACAAAATAAGATCACACAAGAAGGGTGAAGACAACCTGAGCTGTAACTGAGTAATATAAAATTCCACTATAAAAAAAAGAGAGAGAGAATATTATATATGGTGATTTTGTAACTGATATGTTGTTGTTAGATGCTGTCAAGTCACCTCCAATTCACAGCAACCCTATGTGCACTCCCCAGTTCTGTACCATCCTTACATTCCTTGCTATTCTTGAGCCTATCGTTGCAACCACTGTGTCAATCCATCTTGTTAAGGGTCTTCCCCTTTTTTTGCTGACCCTCTTTACCAAACATGATATTCTTCTCCAGGCACTAGTCCCTTCTGACAACACGACCAAAGAAGGTGAGACAAAGTCTGGTTACATCATTTCTGAAGAGTATTCTGACTGCACTTCTTCTAGGACAGATTAGTTCATTCTTCTGGCAGTCCACGGTATCTTCAGTATTCTATACCAACACCAGAACTCAAAGTTATTAATTCCTCTTCAGTCTTCCTTATTCACTGTCCAGCATATGAGGTGAATGAACTAACATACAGCGTTATAGTGTGTAATTATTTTGATCCAGATAACAAAAGCTTTACTAACTTGTCAAACATTTCTTGTAAAGACTGCTAGGAGTGAGTGATGAATAAAAAGAGACGCTATAGAGTTGATACCACATATAACGGCACCAAACTAAAGGAGTGAAAAGGAATTAGGAAGGTAATAAGCAATCTGTCATATCACAGTGGTCATAACAAAGTAACAAAGTAGAAAATGGCAGATTTATTTTATTTCTAGTGGCTTAAACATTTTAGTCATGTTGTTGTTGTTATGTGCCATTGAGTCGGACCCGACTCAGCAACCCCTCCTTGGGTTTCCGAAGTGGTATCACTACGGAAGTAGATTGCCGAACCTTCCTTCTGAGGAGTGATGGTGGGTTTGAACTGCCAGCCTTCTGGTTAGCAGTCAAGTGCCTTAGGCACTACACTACCAGAACTCCCCATTTTAGTCAGACATCAAAGAAAATTTACCTTTTTATTCCCTGAAATGTACTGCTAGCCATGTCAATGATGCCTCCAGTCGGTCGTGCCACAGCTCCAACTAAACCTTTCCCAACACCTTTAAAGAAACCAGCTGCTCCTTCTTTTTGAGCTCCTAGGAAGAAAAAAGATGAAGTTTCAAACAAATGATACAAGAATGAAAACAGAATCAACTTGTGAAAGAAATGATTAAGATATATCACCCAAAAGAACTACTATACTTGCCTTTGATTGGTTTTGTCACAATTCCTGTTATGCCACTTACAAAACCCTAGAGGGAAAGCACAATTGAAAAATTTTAATGATCTTGTATGATGTCTTGATGAACCAAGTCTGGGTTACAGAAAAAATACAGTTTTGCTTTCTAGATACCAAAGGAATTAACATATTCCTCAGTATTTTATTTAAATACAATGTTTTTATAAGCTCCTGATATACTTTATATATGCTACCACCAACTGCTCCTTTAACACTCAAATAATACTTTAAGGAGTGGCATTTGTCTTCTTTGCAGAATGAGGGTTTCAAAGATATTAGAGAAAAGGTTCATAAACCTGTGAAACTTCTTACAGAAACTAAGCCTTTTCCTCCACGAGTGATGCCTTCTCTCAGACCAGTTGGTTGCTTATTCATGGCTTCTCTTCTCTTCTGTTGGTAGTCTTCATCCATAGTTATAGCTGCTACTCCTTTAGCCATAGCACTGGTGATTCTGGAGGCAGCACCAGCTAATCCACCTACCAAAAATTATAATATCTTTAGTAAAATTATGCAATCACTTTCTAACACAATAATACTTGTAGTCATTATGTTTCTTACCAACAGCTCCACCAACTAGTGCCTTAAGTCCTAGCGCCATTCCCTCCACAAACTCTTCAGGACCCTGAATGGCTCCCTAAAGGGTCAAACAGAATATAAAGTTATATTTACTTTTAAAGATGAACTTATCAACATAAATGAAGACAATGATTGTAATGAAAAGGATGAAGATGTCCCAAAGGATCCTGGCAAAAAAAATAAACTTCAGTTAAAGGAATATTTGGATATATTCCATGACCCTGAAATACACAGGATAAAATGCTGGAAGCAGATCCAAATTTAGAAAGGAGTATGACAATTCACCAAAGTGTAGAAAAGATGGCTTGCTTCATACTGCAATTTATATGATAAGAAGGCAAGCATAATTCAAATGACTCTTAATAAGTTTAAAAAAGAAACAAAATTCTGATTCTCAATGTTTCTACTGACAGTAAAATAAATACTAGTTTTACTATGTTACTTTTATTACCCTACACATTAATAAATAATAGTAAGAGATTTTTAATAGTTTGTTAAAACTTTTTAAGCATCACAAAATAAGCATAATTTTTCCCTCCTATCAGTTATTAATATTGCTTTGTGCGATTTCAACCTGCACGGTTATGTTGTATGGTTCCACACTACTGTGCAAAAGCAAGATTGCCTGTACATAGTGATCTTTTTCTACTATAATCTGAAGTTATTCATCTTTTAAAATCCAATACAGCATAAAATTGTATATATCTTAGCAAAACCTTAAATTTAAATTTTGAAGGTAAAGGTAGAAAGGTAGAAATTTTTGAAAATCCAAAAACTCTTACTTTTGCTGAAAAAGAATCATCTTTATTTGTGTTTCTCAAAATCTATTTACAAATCAAGTTAACACTAAGAATGTATTATCTATTCAAAAGCATTAGTAGTGATATAGTGCACAATGTAAAGAAAACTATTTTACCTGATAAGGTTCATAAAAAAATGCTTCTACACCTTCAGAAAACTCTCTAATTAAGCCAAAGGGATTTCCCAAAACTTCAAGTCCAAGAATGAGTACATACATCTGCTTAATGGCCTAAAAAAGTAAAATATGAACATTAATCAATTCAGAAAAGCAGATCTAATATTTTTTTTCTTACTCAGAAGACTATTCAATATGCACACTCAGTTTTTTTCAGGTTAACTCCCTTATCACCAAGTTACCACCTAAATCTTTCACCTTATTTTTGAGAATTCTGAGTTTTTCAGAAAAACAATTTGGTGTGATAGTATTAGAGATAAAATGATGTGACACTTAAGTAAAGCTTTAGAATTTTAAAAATGCTTTCACATTTACAATTATGTGTGTGTGACTGCTGTTGTTACCACCATTTTATAGACTGGCAAAATACAGACATCAAATGATATTCAGGGTCACAGAGTGAGTACAGGGCAAAACTGGAATCCAAACCCAGATTTCTTGAGTCATGATCACTCATCTATCTGGTATGACACAGCTACCTCAGATGCTTATAAGTTATATCATAAAATACAGGAGTCTTTCTAGAAGTGGAAAAAAAATCCACTGAAATAATATACCTAGCTGCCTGAAAACTCAGTTACATTAAAATATCCTCTGTGCAATAAAAAGACACGAAAACAAACCCACTGCCATCAAGTTGACTTCCACTCATAGTGGCCGTTTAGGACAGAGTAGAATTGCCCATAGGGTTCCAAGGCTGTAAATCTTTATGGAAGCAGAGGGCCTCATCTCTTTCCCATGGAGCATCTGGTGGGTTCAAACTGCCAACGTTTTGGTTAGTAGCCAAATGCTTTAACCACTATGCTACCGGAGTTCCTTCCTGTGTTCACTAGTTATCATTTAATACTTTCCACTGAACTCATTTTTAAAATTTAAACTAAGTGTAGTGAATTAGTTAGTTAATATATTATCTAAAGATACAGATTTATTTCTAGCATACTAATCTATATAAGATTTCCGGAAATGGCTAAAATACACAAGGCCCAAAAGTTGAAATACTTATTAGGCTCAATTTCTTTCTACAATTCTTAGGAAATAAGTATGTTTTAAGATTTTGAAAATAGTATGCCAAAATCTACAATATACATATACAAACACATTTCATTAGTCTATAACACTCTGTTCCTTTGTAAGACAATTTCAGACAAACCTGTTTTGAATAATGTCTTATTACTTCAGATTGTAGTTCAGCGGTTGTATGGAACTGATAATTGAGCTCAAAAAATGCAAGCCTGAAAAAAAAAAAAAAAAAGATGTATGACTATATAAATACATATATTAGAGTGGGGGAAAACTGAGGGATGGAAAAAATCAGAATATGTTAATGAATGGTTTATTTTATTCAGATTTTTTTTTCTTCAAAACTTTTCCTTCTAATACATTTTCCCATGTCGATAAGAAAATCTACTTTGTTACATACATCTCTTTACATTTTAGTCAAAGAATTCTCGAGAATCTGAAAGCAGTTAATTATAGACATACATAAATTTTCATATAATTTTGGGCTTCAGAGACTCCTTCATTCTCATTCATGGACCACTAGAACAGTATTTCCTAACTCTGTCCCATCATAGCCCATGTAGAAAATGGTTTACACACTGTGTTAAATAGAAGAGGCTATTCAAAAATGGCCATGGTGTGATTACTGCAGGTCCTGCCTGACTGCTTCATTAGCCAAGGAATAAAGATTATGTCCTTATAACCCATTGAAAGCTATACCTGATGCACTAACTGGAAAACTATATGCTACAGAGTACAAGGAAACCAAAATTAGAAATCTTATTCTATTCCTGGTGTCTTCCAACCTAATTTGACTGTTAATTAATTTTATCTACATTTAAAGTTAGTTATCTCATGATTCTGTAACTTTCACTACTGTTCTTAATAGTCAGTTCTAGATACTACCTGAAAATGCTATTCTCTTTTATAATCTCCACATAGACTCTGAGTCTTTTTGGTCAGATACTCTTTAACAGCTTCCTTTATGACCTAGAGTGAAACGTAAATTTTTTATTGTAACCTTAAACAGAGCCCTTTATGTGGCTGCATTAATCCTGCTCTAGCCATACATACTTGAAGAGTCTCAGTCTTACTGGTTCCTCAGCCTATCTTTCAGGCATCACATGTTTGGGCCACAGACATTTTCTTTAAAATCCTTCCCTATGCCAGAAAAGCAAAATGCTTATATTATACACAAACATGCAGGGTCCATATTACTTTTTTTAAAAGAAAATTCATCAACAATTTTTCTATTATTTAGTAGCTAAAGGTTAACAAAAATATATGTTTAGTGTTATTTAGAGAGTATTCCACTTAAGGAAAAATATCATACTTTTGCAATGTAGCTTATACATTTTTTGAATTATAAAATTTTTTCATCAGATACAGATCTGAGTATAGAACATACTTAAAAACTACATCCTGTACATCTGTAAGAGTGGCACCAATACTCTTCAGCAAAAGATTTAAAGAATAAACTGGAATCAGTCCTCCATGTTGTTTTGAATCTTTAGCTTCTTCTCTACCGGAACTCAGGGAAACACTTAAATGTAACTAAAAAGATAAGAGAAATATTTAAAAGTATTTTCTTCATAGTGACAATTTAATATTTAAAAATTAATTTCATTTTAAATTTACCACACTATAAATAACCAAACAAAAAAAAACAAACTCACTGCCATCGAGTCAATTCCGACTCATAGTGACCCCCATTGAGTTTCTGAGCCTTAATCTTTATGAAAGTAGATTGCTCCATCTTCCTTCCACAGAGCAGCTGGTGAGTTTGAACCACTGCCCTTCTGGTTAGCAGCCTAATGCTGTATCCACTATGCCACCAGAGCTCCTTACATCATAAATAAAATTTCAAACTTATCTGGATTATGCTAAAATTAGTAAGTGGAAAGTTAAAGGAATTTAAAATCTAACATAAACCAAACACACTGCTGTCAAGTTGGATCTGACTCATAGCAACCCCTCCTTGGGTTTCTGAGGCGGTATCACTACAGAAGTGGATTGCCCAATCTTCCTTCCAAGGAGTAGCTGGTGGGTTTGAACTCCCAGTGTTCTGTTTAGCAGTCAAATGCCTTAAACACTGTGCCACCAGAGCTCCTAAAAAAGCTCATTTAAATTATGAAATTCAACAATTTATACTGGTTCAATAGTTTTTATGGTAAGCCAAAAAAAGTATAACGTTTTATACACTGAAAGTTTTTTGTTGTTATTGTAGGTGCCATTGCATCATGTCCAACTGACAGTGACCCTATGCACAGCAGAATGAAACACTGCCCAGTCCTGCACCAGCTCCATGATTCCTGCCCACTGCCGCAGCCACCGTGTCAATCCATCTTGTTGAAGGCCTTTCCCTCCTTTGTTGACCTTCTACTTTACCAAGCATGACATTCTTCTCCAGGGAAATGGTCCCTTCTGACAACAGGACAAAAGTATGTGAAATGAAGTCTGGCCATTCTCACCTCCAAGGAGCATTTTGGTTGCACTTCCTCCAGAACAGTTCAGTCCATGGTACTTTCAGCATTCTTCTCCAACACCGATGCTCAAAAGCATCAATTCTTCTTCAGTCTTCCTTATTCATCCAAAATGGTTGCAGCAGTATACTGACAGAGAACTTCCAGAAATGCAAGCTGGATTCAGAAGAGGATGTAGAATGAGGAATATCAACGCTGATGCCAGATGGATCTTGGCTCAAAGCAAAGAATATCATAAAGATGTTTACTTGTATTTTATTGACTATAAAAAAGCATTTGATTGTGTGGATCATAACAAATTGTGGATAACATTTGGGAGAATGGGAATTCCAGAACACTTCATTGTACTCATGAGGAACCTCAACATAAATCAGGAGGCTATCATTCGAACAGGAAAAAGGAACACTACATGGTTTAAAATCAAGAAGGATCCAGCTCTCATATGCATATGAGGTGACTGAAAATACCACAGCTTGAGTCAGGCACACCTTAGTCCTCAAAGAGACATCTTTGCTCTTCAACACTTGAAAGAGGGCCTTTGCAACCGATTTGTTCAGTGCTATATGTCGTCTGATGTCCTCACTGCTGCTTCCATTGGTGTGGATTGTGGAATCAAGCAATGTGAAGTCTTTGACATTTCAATCTTTTCTCCATTTATCATGATGCTACTTATAGGTCCAGTTGGGAGGACTTTTTTTTTTTCTTTATATTGAGATGTAATCTATATTGCAGACTGTATTCTTCAATCTTCATCAGTAAGTGCTTCAAGTCATTCTCACTTTCAGCAAGCAAAGTTGTGTTGTCAGGGTATTGCAGGTTGTTAATGATTCTTCCTCCAATCCTGATGCCACGTTCCTCTTCACATAGTCCAGATTCTCAGATTATTTGCTCAGCATATAGACTGATAAGTATGGTGAAAGGATACAACAATGACACACTCCCTTCTTGATTTTAAACCATGAAGTGTTCATTTTTCTATTCCAACGATAGCCTCCTGATCTATTTACAGGTTCCTCATGAGTACAATTAAGTGTTCTGGAATTCCCATTCTTCTCAATGTTATCCACAATTTGTTATGATCCACACAATCACCTGCTTTTGCATAGTCAATAAAAAATAAGCAAACATCTTTTTGGTATTCTTTGCTTTGAGCCAAGATCCATCTGGCATCACCAATGATATCCCTCGTTCCACATCCTCTTCTGAATCCACCTTGCATTTCTGTAAGTTCTGTCAATATACTGCTGTAACTATTTTTGAATTATCTTCAGTAAGATTTTATTTGCATATGATATTAATGATATTGTTCGATAATTTCCACATTCTGTGGAATCACCTTTCTTTGGAATGGGTACAAATATGGATCTCTTCCAGGCAGTTGGCCAGGTAGCTGTCTTCCAAATCTCTTGGCATAGCCGAGTAAGTGCCTCCAGTGGGGCATCTGTTTGCTGAAACATGTCAATGGGTATTCTGTCAATGCCTGGAGCCTTGTTCTTCACCAATTCCTTTAGTGCAGCTTCAAATTCTTCCTTCAATACCATTGGTACTTGATCATATGCCATCTCCTGAAATGGATGAAGACCAACCAGCTCTTTTTGGTACAGTGACTATGTACTCCTTCCATCTTCTTTTGATGCTTCCTGCATCATTCAACATTTTGCCCATAGAATCTTTAAATATTGCAACTCGAGGCTTAATTTTTTTCCTCAGTTCTTTCAACTTGAGAAATGCTAAGCATGTTCTTCCCTTTTGGTTTTTTAACTCTAGGTCTTCGCACATTTCATTACAGTAATTGGCTTTGTCTGCTTGAGCTGCCCTTTGAAATCTTTTGTTCAGCTCTTTTATCTTATCTCGTCATGTCTTCCATTTGCTTTAGCTACTAGCATAGTGGCTAAGACACTTGCCTGCTAACCAGACGGCTGGCGGTTCAAACCCAGCAGCCACTCCTCGGAAGGAAGGTTGGGCAATCCTACTTCCGTAGTGATACTGCCTCGGAAACCCAAGGAGGGGTCGCTATGAGTCGGGGCCGACTCGACGGCACATAACAACAACAACAACAACAACTCTCCAAGGGCAAGTTTCAGAGTCTCTTCTGACATCCATTTTGGTCTTTTCTTTCTTTCTCATATTTTTAATGACCTCTTGCTTTCCTCATGGATGATGTTCTTGATGTCATCTCACAATTCTTCTAGATTTCGGTCACTAGTGTTTAATGCATCAAATGTATTCTTTAGACGGTCTCTAAATTCAGGAGGGATATATTCTAGGTCATATTTTGGCTCTTGTGGACTTGTTTCAATTGTCTTCAACTTCAAATTGAACTTGCATATGAGCAGTTGATGGTCTGTTCCACAATCAGCTCCTGGCCTTGTTTTGACTGAAGATATTGAGCTTTTCCATCACCTCTTGCCACAGTTGTAGTCAACCTGATTCCTGTGTACTCCATCTGGCGAAGTCCACGTGTATAGACGTCGTTAGTGCTGTTGAATAAAGGTATTTGCAATGAATGAATCCTTTGTTTGCAAAATTCTATCATGTGATCTCCAGCGTTATTTCTGTCACCAAAGCTAAATTTTCCAACTACCGGTGATTCTTCTTTGTTTCCAACTTTTGCATTCTAGTCACCAGTGATAATTAACACATCTTGATTGCATGTTTGGTCAATTTCAGACTGTAGAAGCTGATGAAAATCTTCAATTTCCTCATCTTTGGCTTTGGTGGTTGGTGTGTAAATTTGAATAATACTAGTATTAACTGACTTTCCTTGTAGGCATATGGATATTTTCATATCACTGACAGCATTGTACTTCAGGACAGATCCTGAAACATCCTTTATGATGATGAATGCCACACCATTCCTCTTCAAACTGTCATTCTTGGCATAGTAGGTCATATGGGTCTCTGATTCAAAGTGGCCCAAATGGTCCATTTCAGCTCATTAATGCCTAGGATATCAATCTTTATGCATTCCATTCCATTTTTGACAACTTCCAATTTTCCTAGATTCATGCTTCATTCATTCCAAGTTCTAATTATTAATGGATGTTTGCAGGTATTTTCCTCAATTTGAGACCTGCCACGTCAGCAAATGGAGTTCCTGAAAGACTTACTTTATCCATATCATTAAGGTTGGTTCTACTCTGATGAGGCAGGTCTTTCCCAGTCCTATTTTGAGTGCCTTCCAACCCAAGGGTCTCACCATCCTGCATTGTGCCGGACAATGTTTCCAAGCTATTCATAAAGTTACCCAGTAATATATCAAACAGTGTTTCTCTGCTATTTATAAGGTTTTCCCTGGTCAATTTTTTGAGAAGTGGATGGCCTCTTCTTTCTTCCTACTCTGTCTCAGTCTATAAGCTAAGCTACATTGAAATCTGTGCACCATGTACAACCCTGCTGGCATTTGAAACACCGGTAGCACAACCTCAAGCCTCAGAGGAACCTGCAAGCCCCACAGGATGACAAACTGACAGACAATTTTGTCTCAGCTGTTAGAAACCTTTCCACCCTCCCCTTACCTAATTGCTACCTGGATCCTGCTACTTTGTGGTCCCTGGCTGCTCCCTCCCTTTTCTGTCTCTGGGGGCTGGGGCCTGCCTGCCTCCTGCCCCTTACCTGGCTCTTGCCACTCCTGTGTTCCATGGTGGCTCCCTTTCTTTCCTAGCTCTAGGGGGCTGGGGCCTTGCCTGCCTCCCACTCCTTACCTGGATCCTGCTGCTCTCAAAAGTTTTAGGTTGTTGTTGTTATGTGCCATTGAGTCGGACCCAACTCATAGCAACCCTTCTTGGGTTTCTGAGGCAGTATCACTACGGAAGTAGATTGCCCGAGCTTCCTTCCGAGGAGTGGCTGGTGAGTTTTATACACTTGTTAATAACACTAACAATCTAGAAGTTGAAAATGACTCAAATATCTCCAAGTTTCAACTACTGAAAATAAGTTTATATGGTGAAGCTAGCTAAAAACATTTTGCATTTTATATACCACCTCAGAAACCCTAATATGGTTGTTCTGAGTCAGAACTGACTCGATGGCAGTGAGTTTGGTTTTTTTGGTATATACATATTGTAAGGTACTCTTGTGGCACAGAAGTTAAGGTATTTGGTTGCTAACCAAAAGGTTATCAGTTCAAACCTACCAGCCACTCTGGAGAAGGAAGACGAGCCAATTTACTTCCGTATAGATTTGTATTCTAAGAAACCCTATGGCTCACTATAAGTTGGAAGTGACTTGATGGCAGTGGGTTTGGTTTTGGTTATATACATATGTATTATGTTCAAGTAATTTTCGTCAAGTAACTGAAAAAAAATTTGTATTAAGATTAGCAACTAGCAACATTTAGCTCCACTCAACCTTCAACACTTAATTTAATCAGAGATACTTTTAAATTAAATTAAAAACTAATATACACACCACACAAGCAATTTTGAAAACTGTCACTAAATAACTAAAAAGAAAACTAAGGTAAAATACTGTTAGGTCAAAATATAAATATATAAATACATGTTGTATGTGGTTCCACTATTATTTCTACATGCTGAAAATATGTTGTAAAGAAAAACATTTGAAAATATTTATTTCTCATATATCAGTATTTTTAATGGTAAATTTACAGTATTTACTTTTATTAGGGAGTTCTGGTAGCATAATGCCTAAGGCACTTGACTGCTAACCAGAAGGCTGGCAGTTCAAACTCACCAGCTACTCCTCGGAAGGCTACTTCCATAGTGATACCGCATCAGAAACCTAAGAAGGGGTTGTTTTGAGTTGGGTCCAACTTGACGGCACATAACAACAACAACAACAAAAATATATATTACGCACTTGCCAATTAAACATTTTTCAAGTATATAATTTAAATGTCCAGGCACCAGTTCCTGGAGACGGACATCTTATTTGGTAAAGCAGAGGGTCAGTGAAAACCCTTGACAAGATGGAATAACACAGTGGCTGCAAAATGGACTCAAACAGCAATAATTGTGAGGATGGCACAGGGCCTGACTGCGTTTTGTTCTGTTGTCACTATTAAGTGGAACGGACTTGATGGCACCAAACAATAATAACAACATCTTCCCAAACAGATATAATCAATTTGTTATTATCTAATTTAAGAAGGACAATAAAAATAACTTATTTTTACCTTACCTTGATTGGAGATATATGAAAGTATTCATAGAGACTGACTTGTGTTGTATCAACTAATGAAACCGTTTTATATTCTTCTTGGAAAGCTTCTATATCTTTATGAAAAAGTTCAACCTATAAAGAAACAAAATGTTAAGAAAATGATGGGACCTAACTGCATGAGATAATTTATATCAATATCCCATACACTGCAAAAAGCTTCTTATTATCCACAATCAACATTCCTCATGATAAGAAAGTTATTGTCTCACAAGAGACGGATATTAAATGTTAAAAAAATTCTGTCTGCCACATAGAAATTGATAAGTATGTCTTCTATGTTTCCATCTAAGCCATTAAAAGATACTAAGCTTTCTTGATGTAACTATAGATCTTATCTCAAATGGCCTTTCATCAACAAGCTCTGGTGAATATTTGTTTCTTTAAACACAATCTTTCAGGCCACTTGTAACTATCCGGCAAATGCTTTAATGAAATCTACAGAGCCAGCAGCGTAACACAAAAAGGGAAGGCACTGAAGATAACTTTAAACGAAGTGATTACAGCATCCATTTTTAAAAATCATTAATATTTCTCTTTCAAACACTTACAGATCTAAGTTGAGCAACTGCCCAAGATTCACATTTTGTTAACTTAGTCACAAAAGCATCAAAATGATAGCCTAATTAAAGAATAATGGTTTCCCTCACTATCTGAAGGTCAAGCATTCCTATGAAACCTTTCATAAGCAAAAATGGTGTAAAGTGAGGAAACAATTACCATTAATTTTTATGGGAAAAATTTTTGAGTGTACCCAGACCCATAAGATAACCTACTAAATCATAACAAATAACACATAAGACCTAAAATAACACGAACATATAGTGTTCCCAGACACAGTTCAAAGCTATGGCAGTTTGATACTGAGATGGTGAGCGCAGTTCCCAGGGAAGGAGCTTGGTAACACCACTCTTTTTTTCCTTTACATTTTTTTAATACATTTTATTGAAATATAATTTATGTACAGTGAAATACACAAAACTAAAGTTACATGGGTCAATGCTTTTTTTTTTTTTTTCTTTTTTGCAGTGTTCCCACCCCTCCTGGTAACCAACAAATAAAGTTTCCTTCCACATATAAACCTTTCCTTAACTTTTTACAATAATGAACTAATACTATATTTTGTCCTTCTGTGACTGACTTATTTCACTCAGCATAATGTCCTCCAAGTTCATCCTCGGGTAACACCACTCTTGCTGCTTTGGGTGCATGCTGTGTCTTTAATGGCTCACTGTAAAACAAACGCTGAACGCTAGTTTCACCCTTTGCTTTTTTAGTGAAAATGAAAATCCTCTTTGGATTTCTTTCAGTTAGCAAAAACAGGTACTAATGTAGGTCTTTCGCAAAAGGTAAGTGAACTTTCAATAAGTGGGGGATACTTGTATTTAGTGACTGAGTTCTGGCAGTGTGAGAAGCTCAGAGGACCCATTCCCTAGTGAAATTGTAAATGATCCTAAGGGCATACAGCAAATGAAGAAACACATATTGAAGAAAATCTAGGTAACTTAAATAAGAATGCAAAAGCCTATGGTATTTGAACAAATACTGCTTCTTCCCTCCCCTCTTCAGCGTGCAAAGCAGAGACCACTCCAGACTGGTGCAGCCAAGAGGCTCTCTCTCCATTCAGCTTCCAGATGAAGGTATTTTTTTCCTGAGTGGAGCAGGATGTCAGCATTTTTTTCCTTCCCCAGACTACCTGTTACTGAGGCAAAGTTCCAGGGAAGCATTGTTGTGAGGCAGGTGCTCCCTTCTTATGTCCAGCCCCACTAGTGGAACAAAGGCTCTATCTTGGATGCAGTGCCACTGAGAATGATACTGGGGTCCTGCTTGCCCTTGCATAGCTCCCATAAGGTAGTAGTTCCATGCCAGGAGAAGAAAACAAAGATCTCAGTGTACTGCCTTCCTCCCCTATCCAACTGAGGGTTCAGCTCCTAAAGCAGAGGTGTTATTCAGAGAAAAGTATGCCACATGTCCAATCCCTAGCCATGGCTCAGAGATGCTGCCTATGGAGAGGAGACATTAAAACAAAGAGCTCCTAGTCTCTTCTCAAAGGAACTGACTTGATTTGTAAGAGAGTGTGGAGAAGTTCAAGACTAAGCATGCTCTCAAAAACAGCAGAGGTTGTGGTAAGAGGCAACTGGAGGGAGATCTGTAGATTTAACAAACATAAAGGCTAAACTGTAGACTGAGTAATATGCAGAAAAGAAACAGGAAAAACAACAACAGGGATGAGGTCTTCCGGGGTCAGAAAAATATCAAACACTGACCTCTGTGACTATTCCTTCTAAGGATCCCAAATTTGATTGGATTAGTCTGCAGAGCAATTTATGCCCCAGTACACTGCTGAAAACTGATCTACCAGCTTGAAATCAGTAGCATGTAGCATCTGCAAGCTGTCAGGAAAAGGGATGAAGAGATTCCTACTATAACCACTGTCATTCCAATGTGGCTGTGGGCACATTCAAAGCTGCAACTCTTTGAAAAGCAACATAAGAGACTTAACACTGAGGGGAGGGTGGGGGAACACTTCACTAAACTGCAGGTCTGCATTGCTTAATGTCTATAATATGTTCTGTGAAATACAACATTATACGATTTTGATGTGGTGCAAACACCGTATTATATACAGGCAATCCCCATACAATCAGTAGTTAAATCCTCATAAAGCCTATTATATTAAAACCTTATGGAAGCCCACTGGACAAAATCTAAGAGCCGTATCCATTGGATACAGGCCAGTTTTGCTGGGTGTGTGGTTGGCCTGGCATGGAGCTGTGCCAGTAGCCGAATCAGGATTTTGTACATGTTTGGGTGTAAGACAGGGATGGGAGCAGATGGGGGGTGCAGAGAAAAGGCCACAGGGACCAGGTGTGCAGGTGCTGGGAGTGCAGCTGACAGTGGAAAATAACCTGGTTGCCACCACCTTACTGGTATAGCCTCTTTCCGATCATGTGTACCAACTGCCACAGCTGGCTGGAGCCAGGGGCCCACCAGCGCATTAGGTCCAGCCAGTGCCACAAGCACCCACATCTGGAGCAGTGGAGCCATGGCAGGTACTGTCCTGCACTGGGAGTGGAAGACTTCACAGCTGCTAGGAGGATGGATAAAGCTAGGAGGAAGAAAGCAGTAGGTGGCATGAGGATTGGGATGTATCCTGGAGACCTACTGCTCATTCACTCTGGGGGTTTAGAGTCTTTAAAACCATTAGATGGAAATACCAGAGAAAAGGAGAGTTGCTTTCCCTTAAAAAAAAAAAATAATCACCTTGCAGGACCACAGATATATACGCAGTTAGTGGTTATATGCTGCCCGAATAGTGAAGTGATGCATAACTGTAATCCAGTCTGTTGCTAAACAAATAAACAAGTAAATAACAATAGCAAGTACCAGAGGTGGAGTACTAGAACCCGGAGCAGGCACAACATATTATCTAAAATGTCCAGTTTCCAACTAAAGGTTACAAGACATGCATAGTAAACAGGAAAAGTATGATGGATACACTAGCAATAGATAGACTAACAACAGAATTCCCTGTCAAAGACCTGATATTAGATTTAACAGGAAAAGAACACAATGCTATCATTTTAAATATATCAAAAAAACTGAAAAAAATAATCATTAAAAAAGTAAAGGAATGATAATGTCACAACAAATAGAGAATACCAATACCAATCCCCAATTCCTACTACTATCAAGTCAATTCTGACTCAGAGCAAGCCCATAGGACAGAGCAGAAGTAACCCATAAGGTTTCAAAAGCTGTAAATCTTTATGGAAACAAATTGTCACATCTTTCTCTCACAGAGTGTCTGGAAGGCTCAAACTGCTGACCTTTTGGTTAGCAGCCAAGCACTTACCCATTGTACCACCATGACTCCTTGAATACCACCACAGAGAGAGAAAACAACTTTAAAAAAGGCAAACAGAAATTCTAGTATTAAAAATTATAACAGTTGCAGATTCCAAGATGGCAGAACAGGCAAAAAGACTGCACAGACCCTCTTTAACAAAGAAAAGTGGAATCAATTAACACAGACACAGATGATAATCCTGGACCCTTGACCCTTGAAGGGCAGGATATAGAAGTGGACTAAACCCAACTAGAAGAAGAATTTGCATGAAAATACCAAAAAAAAGGAGAGATACAGAGCTGCGGTCTGGCAGCGATCCTGAGTGATCCTGATGGCACAGACAGCTTGGAGATTCCCGAGTGGTAGGTAGGACCTAAGAATTAACCTAAAAATCAGCCCTGCTAGCAAGGGATTGCACAGAGGACTACTCTGGTGGCTGGGGGATAAAAGGCGAAGCAGCGGGGAAGAGGAAGGTGGGCTGAGCTGTGGACTTTTGCCTGTCCAGAGGGTGCAGCCATTTTGAATGTTTACAAGAGGCTTGACCATTTTGGATATTTAAAGAGACAGCGCTCTCTAAGATTCCAGGGGCTTAAGAATAGGTTCTGCTTGTCAGCAAGCCCAAGGACACTCCGGACCTGCATGACTGAAAAGAGTGGGAGACAGCAACAGTCCCCATAAGACATAACTACACCCACACCTCCTGCAACTTCACTTACTAAGCGAGAGCCACTACCTCCTTCTCCACCAACAGGCCAATGATAAAAAACCAAGAAGAGCCTGAATCACCCTTGGCTGCTCTTCAGAAACAGTTAACAGAGATATAAATACAACAACGTCATGATGCCTCGGAGACAACAGACCATCACAGTTCACACAAAGAAGCAAGATAAAGTGGTAGGAACAAGGGAATAGGATACAAACCCAGAACACATCCTTGAGAAAGAAGCAGCATTGGAACTCCCTGATAAGGAATTCAAAAGGGTTATATTTAGGAATCTTCAAAGGATTGAGAGACAGACCAAAAAAAAACACAGAAAAACCCTACAAGAATTTTGGAAGAAAATACAAGAACAAAATAACAAAATAGATGAAAAATTGGAAATGATTCTAAATCTACAGATAGAAATCCAGAAGATTAATACTAAATTGTCAGAAATAGATAACATATTAGAAGGGCAAAGGAGTAGAAATGATGCAATGGAAGACAGAATTAATGAGATTGAAG